TGTTTACCGTAAGGTGCGTAACGTCTAGATGCGGCAGCGATGGCGGCGGCTTCGGCTGCTTCTGTGGCTTCTAGAAGTGCTTCCTGTTCGGCAAGACTGTTACCAGAGCTGGCAGCAGAGCTTGAAGCAGCAGCGCTCGATGAAGATCCAGCAGCACCGCTGTTGTTGATCACAATGGTGTCTTGGCCTACGCCTCCTAACCCACCGTAGAGTCCGTTCAATCCGTTTGCGTAATTACCGCTTCCAGCTGAGCCTGCAGCGGCGGCAGCGGCTGCGGCAGCTGCTGATCCTGAACCTTGTCCTCCACGAAGACCGTTAAGACCATTGAGTCCATTTAATCCGTTTGCGTAATTACCGCTTCCAGCTGAGCCTGCAGCGGCGGCAGCGGCTGCGGCAGCTGCTGATCCGGCACCTTGTCCTCCAAGAAGACCGTTGAGACCATTTAATCCGTAAAGTCCGTTAGAGCCGTAAAGACCGGCACCGTTTAATCCAGTACCAGATCCTTGTCCAGCAGAGGCGGCGGATGAAGAAGCAGCTGAGGCGGCTGATGATGATCCAGAACCTGAGTCGTTGTTGATTACGACTTGTTTACCGTAAGGTGCGTAACGTCCAGATGCGGCAGCGATGGCGGCGGCTTCGGCTGCTTCTGTGGCTTCTAGAAGTGCTTCCTGTTCGGCAAGACTGTTACCAGAGCTGGCAGCAGAGCTTGAAGCAGCAGCGCTCGATGAAGATCCAGCAGCACCGCTGTTGTTAATCACAATGGTGTCTTGGCCTACGCCTCCTAACCCACCGTAGAGTCCGTTCAATCCGTTTGCGTAATTACCGCTTCCAGCTGAGCCTCGCGCGGCCGCTGCGGCACTGCTGATCCTGAACCTTGTCCTCCACGAAGACCGTTAAGACCATTGAGTCCATTAATCCGTTTGCGTAATTACCGCTTCCAGCTGAGCCTGCGCGGCGGCCGCTGCGGCAGCTGCTCCCACCTTGTCCTCCCCCTTAAGCCTTGAGTCCATTTAATCCGTTTGCGTAATTACCCTTCCACTAGCTAGCGGCGGTAGCGGCTGCGGCAGCTGCTGATCCGGCACCTTGTCCTCCAAGAAGACCGTTGAGACCATTCAAACCGTAAAGTCCGTTAGAGCCGTAAAGACCGGCACCGTTTAATCCAGCACCAGATCCTTGTCCAGCAGAGGCGGCGGATGAAGAAGCAGCTGAGGCGGCTGATGATGATCCAGAACCTGAGTCGTTGTTGATTACGACTTGGTTACCGTAAGGTGCGTAACGTCCAGATGCGGCAGCGATGGCGGCGGCTTCGGCTGCTTCTGTGGCTTCTAGAAGTGCTTCCTGTTCGGCAAGACTGTTACCAGAGCTGGCAGCAGAGCTTGAAGCAGCAGCGCTCGATGAAGATCCAGCAGCACCGCTGTTGTTAATCACAATGGTGTCTTGGCCTACGCCTCCTAACCCACCGTAGAGTCCGTTCAATCCGTTTGCGTAATTACCGCTTCCAGCTGAGCCTGCAGCGGCGGCAGCGGCTGCGGCAGCTGCTGATCCTGAACCTTGTCCTCCACGAAGACCGTTAAGACCATTGAGTCCATTTAATCCGTTTGCGTAATTACCGCTTCCAGCTGAGCCTGCAGCGGCGGCAGCGGCTGCGGCAGCTGCTGATCCGGCACCTTGTCCTCCAAGAAGACCGTTGAGACCATTTAATCCGTAAAGTCCGTTAGAGCCGTAAAGACCGGCACCGTTTAATCCAGTACCAGATCCTTGTCCAGCAGAGGCGGCGGATGAAGAAGCAGCTGAGGCGGCTGATGATGATCCAGAACCTGAGTCGTTGTTGATTACGACTTGTTTACCGTAAGGTGCGTAACGTCTAGATGCGGCAGCGATGGCGGCGGCTTCGGCTGCTTCTGTGGCTTCTAGAAGTGCTTCCTGTTCGGCAAGACTGTTACCAGAGCTGGCAGCAGAGCTTGAAGCAGCAGCGCTCGATGAAGATCCAGCAGCACCGCTGTTGTTGATCACAATGGTGTCTTGGCCTACGCCTCCTAACCCACCGTAGAGTCCGTTCAATCCGTTTGCGTAATTACCGCTTCCAGCTGAGCCTGCAGCGGCGGCAGCGGCTGCGGCAGCTGCTGATCCTGAACCTTGTCCTCCACGAAGACCGTTAAGACCATTGAGTCCATTTAATCCGTTTGCGTAATTACCGCTTCCAGCTGAGCCTGCAGCGGCGGCAGCGGCTGCGGCAGCTGCTGATCCGGCACCTTGTCCTCCACGAAGACCGTTAAGACCATTGAGTCCATTTAATCCGTTTGCGTAATTACCGCTTCCAGCTGAGCCTGCAGCGGCGGTAGCGGCTGCGGCAGCTGCTGATCCGGCACCTTGTCCTCCAAGAAGACCGTTGAGACCATTCAAACCGTAAAGTCCGTTAGAGCCGTATAGACCGGCACCGTTTAATCCAGCACCAGATCCTTGTCCAGCAGAGGCGGCGGATGCCGAAGCAGCTGAGGCAGCTGATGATGATCCAGAACCTGAGTCGTTGTTGATTACTACTTGGTTACCGTAAGGTGCGTAACGTCCAGATGCGGCAGCGATGGCAGCGGCTTCGGCTGCTTCTGTGGCTTCTAGAAGTGCTTCCTGTTCGGCAAGATTGTTACCAGAGCTGGCAGCAGAGCTTGAAGCAGCAGCGCTCGATGAAGATCCAGCAGCACCGCTGTTGTTGATCACAATGGTGTCTTGGCCTATGCCTCCTAACCCACCGTAGAGTCCGTTTAATCCGTTTGCGTAATTACCGCTTCCAGCTGAGCCTGCAGCGGCGGCAGCGGCTGCGGCAGCTGCTGATCCGGCACCTTGTCCTCCACGAAGACCGTTAAGACCGTTGAGTCCGTTTAATCCGTTTGCGTTATTACCGCTTCCAGCTGATCCTGCAGCGGCGGCAGCGGCGGCGGAAGCTGCTGATCCTGAACCTTGTCCTCCACGGAGTCCGTTGAGACCATTCAAACCGTAAAGTCCATTAGAGCCGTACAGACCGGCACCGTTTAATCCAACACCAGATCCTTGTCCAGCAGAGGCGGCGGATGCCGAAGCAGCTGAGGCAGCTGATGATGATCCAGAACCTGAGTCGTTGTTGATTACTACTTGGTTACCGTAAGGTGCGTAACGTCCAGATGCGGCAGCTATGGCAGCGGCTTCGGCTGCTTCTGTGGCTTCTAGAAGTGCTTCCTGTTCGGCAAGACTGTTACCAGAGCTGGCAGCAGAGCTTGAAGCAGCAGCGCTCGACGAAGATCCAGCACCGCTGTTGTTGATCACAATGGTGTCTTGGCCTATGCCTCCTAACCCACCGTAGATTCCGTTTAATCCGTTTGCGTAATTACCGCTTCCAGCTGAGCCTGCAGCGGCGGCAGCGGCTGCGGCAGCTGCTGATCCGGCACCTTGTCCTCCACGAAGACCGTTAAGACCATTGAGTCCATTTAATCCGTTTGCGTAATTACCGCTTCCAGCTGAGCCTGCAGCGGCGGCAGCGGCTGCGGCAGCTGCTGATCCGGCACCTTGTCCTCCAAGAAGACCGTTGAGACCATTCAAACCGTAAAGTCCGTTAGAGCCGTATAGACCGGCACCGTTTAATCCAGCACCAGATCCTTGTCCAGCAGAGGCGGCGGATGCCGAAGCAGCTGAGGCAGCTGATGATGATCCAGAACCTGAGTCGTTGTTGATTACTACTTGGTTACCGTAAGGTGCGTAACGTCCAGATGCGGCAGCGATGGCAGCGGCTTCGGCTGCTTCTGTGGCTTCTAGAAGTGCTTCCTGTTCGGCAAGATTGTTACCAGAGCTGGCAGCAGAGCTTGAAGCAGCAGCGCTCGATGAAGATCCAGCAGCACCGCTGTTGTTGATCACAATGGTGTCTTGGCCTATGCCTCCTAACCCACCGTAGAGTCCGTTTAATCCGTTTGCGTAATTACCGCTTCCTGCTGAGCCTGCAGCGGCGGCAGCGGCTGCGGCAGCTGCTGATCCGGCACCTTGTCCTCCACGAAGACCGTTAAGACCGTTGAGTCCGTTTAATCCGTTTGCGTTATTACCGCTTCCAGCTGAGCCTGCAGCGGCGGCAGCGGCGGCGGAAGCTGCTGATCCTGAACCTTGTCCTCCACGGAGTCCGTTGAGACCATTCAAACCGTAAAGTCCATTAGAGCCGTACAGACCGGCACCGTTTAATCCAACACCAGATCCTTGTCCAGCAGAGGCGGCGGATGCCGAAGCAGCTGAGGCAGCTGATGATGATCCAGAACCTGAGTCGTTGTTGATTACTACTTGGTTACCGTAAGGTGCGTAACGTCCAGATGCGGCAGCTATGGCAGCGGCTTCGGCTGCTTCTGTGGCTTCTAGAAGTGCTTCCTGTTCGGCAAGACTGTTACCAGAGCTGGCAGCAGAGCTTGAAGCAGCAGCGCTCGACGAAGATCCAGCACCGCTGTTGTTGATCACAATGGTGTCTTGGCCTATGCCTCCTAACCCACCGTAGATTCCGTTTAATCCGTTTGCGTAATTACCGCTTCCAGCTGAGCCTGCAGCGGCGGCAGCGGCTGCGGCAGCGGCTGATCCGGCACCTTGTCCTCCACGAAGACCGTTAAGACCGTTGAGTCCGTTTAATCCGTTTGCGTAATTACCGCTTCCAGCTGAGCCTGCAGCGGCGGCAGCGGCTGCGGCAGCTGCTGATTCGGCACCTTGTCCTCCACGAAGACCGTTAAGACCGTTGAGTCCGTTTAATCCGTTTGCGTAATTACCGCTTCCAGCTGAGCCTGCAGCGGCGGCAGCAGCTGCGGCAGCTGCTGATCCGGCACCTTGTCCTCCAAGAAGTCCGTTGAGACCATTCAATCCGTAAAGTCCGTTAGTGCCGTAATGACCGGCACCGTTTAATCCAGCACCAGATCCTTGTCCAGCAGAGGCGGCGGATGCAGAAGCAGCTGAGGTGGCTGATGATGATCCAGAACCTGACTCGTTGTTGATTACGACTTGTTTACCGTAAGGTGCGTAACGTCCAGATTCGGCAGCGATGGCAGCGGCTTCAGCTGCTTCTAGTGCGGCTACTTGAGCAGCGAGTCCAGAGTCTGAGCCGGCGGAAGCGGCGGCTGAGCTTGAGGCAGAAGCACTCGATGCAGATCCGCTTGCTCCATTGTTGTTGATAATGACGGCGCCTTGACCGTCGTTTCCATATACTCCCGATGATCCGAGTAGCCCTAAGTTTCCACGACCGGCAGAGCCTGCGGCAGCGGCGGCGGAAGCTGCCGATCCGGAACCTTGTCCTCCAAGTAGTCCGTTAAGACCGTTGAGTCCGTTGAGACCATTCAATCCGTAAAGACTGTTAGAGCCGTATAGAGCGGCACCGTTTAATCCAGGACCAGATCCTTGTCCAGCAGCGGCGGTGGATGCCGAAGCAGCTGAGGCGGCTGATGATGATCCAGAACCTGACTCGTTGTTGATAACGACTTGGTTACCGTAAGGTGCATAACGTCCAGATGCGGCAGCGATGGCAGCGGCTTCGGCTGCTTCTGTGGCTTCTAGAATTGCTTCCTGTTCGGCAAGACTGTTACCAGAGCTGGCAGCAGAGCTTGAAGCAGCAGCGCTCGACGAAGATCCAGAAGCACCGCTGTTGTGGTTGTTGATCACAATGGTGTCTTGGCCTACGCCTCCTAACCCACCGTAGAGTCCGTTCAATCCGTTTGCGTAATTACCGCTTCCAGCTGAGCCTGCAGCGGCGGCAGCGGCAGCAGAAGCTGCTGCTCCAGCTTGATTTCCGTAAGGTGAGTACTGTATTGGTGTATTGTAACCAACAGTAGATCCAGGAGCAGCGCCAGTGCTAGCTGTTGAGACAGATGACACGCTTGATGCTGCGGTTGAGCCTGCATTGAGTGGACCTCGTGGCTTCGAACTTAAAACTGTTCTTGTCTCTGTTTCAGCCGATGAGCCTGGCTGGCTCTTCTTATGAATGAGTACATCTTCTTCCCATATTGTTTCATGACCGGTTGAGTCAGTTTTTATAACAATTGTTTTAACTTTGACATCATCTCCTGTCACGTCTTTGTCGACATCGCCATAAGCTTCGTATTCTTTCGTTGTTGTAGATTTTTCGTAAACATTACCTGTTGCGTCGTAGTCTAGTTCATCAGTTTCGTTTACTTTTTTTGTTTCCAGTCTGCCATTTCTGAGTGCATATTGCAATGCATCATCAATTGCATCTGCAGAGACATACTGTAACATACAAACATATTGCTAATATAACTATATGCTCCGCTTTCGTTTAGCAAGTTATTTCAAAACCTTTATATAAAGACCATTAGAAATCTCCGATATAATATTAAAAATAAATTGAATAAACAGTAATTTTTAAGTTCATGTATAATATTTATGTTTCGCCTTTTTATATAGTCCCATTGCTTTTTTCAATCGATTTTTATTTCTTCCATAGTAAATAAATCGGAGAAAAAGATTAATTTATGCCTGTTTAAGACTTCATTTAGTTGAATTTTATGCAATTACCTAATAACTCTTGGGCCTTTAAAGAGAAGATGCGGTGAACTAAATTGCACACGTAAATTTAATGTTTTCAAATTGGTAGTTATATTTTGACATTGTGCTTAAAATATATATTAATAAAAATCTAATTTAACTAGTTGACCAATAATTGTGGTTTTTCTATATATTAGAGTAGATACTAATATCACAAAAATGGGAGTTGATGGGCGGATCAAAATTACGAGATAAATGTCAAATTAAATAAAAAGGAGTATAAAAAATTATACCGAAGATACACTTCATCAAAATCGGTCAAGCCGTTTCTGAAGATTTTGCTTTCAAAATACGAGAATTTTAGTATAGATAGATAACTTACCTGCAGAGCACAGCACAAGATCACGAAGGTTGTTACTCTCATGTTTAGAGAGATGTAACCGGACTGATGCCTTCACAGAAAGTTTCTGGTCTTTTTATACTAAAATTTGCGCTATGTAAATAATATATTCTACGTAAATTAAATTTTCGAAGCACTTAAATAAATATTAAATTTAAAAGAGAATAATTAAATCAACCTTGTAATTAAAAACAATACATATCAATTAAAGCTTCATTGTTGCATGATTTGCAAAAATTAAGAACTATTCCTAAAGAAAAATAATATACCAAACATATTTTTCAATACTAAACTCATTTGAGAAAATTCCCAGTTTAATGCGTTCTATAACAAACACTAAAATATTCTAATGTTTCAAGAAATTCTTAAGCAGCTTCATTTTAATAACGAAATACGGTGTAATCTACAATATCAAGCACTGTATGATCTTGATTAAAAATTGACGACTATGACTTCAATGGGATAACATTTCTGCGCCTGTGTCTCACTCTATAGCCTAGTCTTTTCCAATTTTTATTCAATTCGTTTATTCCTGATTACTTGATTAAATGTTTTGCGTTTATATCGTATCCTATCAGGTTTCTTTTAGATTATAAAATATATACTGATTGCTTAACAAAGTCCGATTAATACCTAATATGTACTTTTAAAATAAAGAGCTTATAAATAATGATAGTACCAAAGTGAAACTAATTGCTTAATTAAATATATTTACATAACGAAAAAGCGGGCATAAATTATTTTTTTTTTATAAACACAGTTAATAAAATTGGGAACATATCAAACGTAACGTATTAATCAGGTTTTCCAGCAAATAAACCTTTATTTTTTATTGATATTAATGTGTATATTTTAAACAATTTTACATCCTGTATTTTAAGTATAAAACAAAAGATTTTTGACCCAAATCATTTGATAGATATATTTCTTAAGTGTTTCATAATTTGTCTAATGATTATTGTATTGAACGTAAAATTCAGAATTGGGATTTATGAACCTGAAACACGTTGGACATACGAAAGTCAATATGACTTTCGTAAATTTGATGAACACAGCCAAGCTGGGGAACCCAACCGTAAGGTTCATAAAAAATCTCAAAAAAATTGCAATAATTTATGCAGAGTTTGAGGTTCGATAAAATATTAGTAATTAACAAATTACGTTAATTTCAAAACTAATGTAAAAGGACATGTTAGTCGTATCCTGAATTCAATGATTTCTTAAAAAAACAATAAATTGTGCGTGTACTAGGTGTACACACGTAAGAAGTGAAACTTCTTTATGATCTTATTTTTCGAAAAATGATCTACTATATGCAACTTTACAGAAATTCGTTAAATTAGATAAAGTTTAACAAAAGGCTTTTATTATCATAGACATGAATACAAATATTTCATTTTACCTTATTACTACGAAGATTATTATAGAATTTCATTAATTGTAATAGAATTATTACTATCATTGAAAAACGTGACGATTTGCTAAAAAATTTCTCCCATACGTCGATAAAGAAGTTTCATTCCAACGCCGATAAAGAAGTTTGACTTCAAAAAGCAACATGGCGCGTAACCGAAAAATGTGACGCGTAACGAAAAAATGTTACACTAAATTTTTTTCCAACCTCGATAAAGAAGTTTCACTTCAATAACTCCTCTTTAAGACTTGGTTAAAATATTTGTACACCTGTTCCAATATCACTAATTACTTTTATTGAGCTGTTTTAATTGTAAGTTTATTTTACGTCTTTGTAAAATTTAAACGCTCTATTGTTCGTATTAAACAATATTTACAATGAATGATTATCATTTGTCTTAATCTTTGATAAATGATATTAATTTGACGATTATTCGTTCAGGATATTTTCATATAGGACACATAACTGCCTTCAGGATTTTTTTTGTCAAAGAAAATCTTTACATTTTTCTGTTCTATATAATCATGGAAACAGGCTCAGTAATTATGACCTATGCCTATTTTCTTATGGGAGTTAAATAGGTATTGAAAAATATATACGTAATAAAAATGGAGAAAATAATATTTCTTTAGGTTTCCTGACATACTATCCTTTAAATTAAATTAAGGTATACTAGCTGTTAACTGCGGCCTTGCTCGGGATACTTCGAGCCCATAGACACTCAATCAACTCAAGTTGCTAGCGGCTGCTGTTTTGGAAATTAAATGTTTTTATGATTCCGTTTTATTGGTTAAATCCAGAAATCCTTTACATAAACAAAATTTAAGGTTGTAACTATACATAACGTTCACTACCCAGATTATATTATGAAAGTAATAAATATGTATGTATATGTATGTAGCTTTGGTCACTTAAAAGATATATCTATAACTTATAGAGGAGTTGTTCGGATTAATACCTGAAGCTGAGTTTCATCATCGGACGTCGAGGTAGAATACGAAATTCAACCCGTTTCACCTCGACGTCCGTCGTTCCACAACTAAGCGGTTTAAAGGCAGTTTTTCGCGAAGTATTTCCGAACCAAATTTGACTTAGGGTACTTCAAGAAATGAGCGTACTAATACTTAAAAGGCGGGGAACGCACTCGCGAGCCCTCTGGCATTGAGATGTCTATGGGCGTCGGTAACATCAGGCCGCCCGTTTGCCCCCTGTTCTATAAAAAAAAAACTCTGGCTACCAAAGAATGATATATCGAAGAAATTCTTACATCTTTAAAGCGTGTACACGCTGTAAAGCACGCGAAACGTCGGATAAATTTAAAATTATGTTAAATAGTTGTAAATTTATAATAATACATAACTTCAATCCGGTCAAACAGTTTTTTCTTTAAATGTGTAAAGGTTATGTAAATCAAAGACAAATTCTTACATCTGTTATTAACCAAATCGCTGATAAGAGACATGTTGGCGAAGAAGAGCCCCAATATATTATATCCCCAATCGATCTGAAGACACATTTTTACTGTATCATCCATCATAAATACTGTTATAATAATTATTTAACTATATTTATAGGCTTTATTAAGAGAAGCCCTTTCCAAGCGAGGAAAAAACAACCTCAATTTTGACATTTAGATTTTTTGTCGCTAAAAAAATTATTTCAATCCACTAAACTAACCTTTTTCCATACGTCAATAGAACTCAAATAGAATTTGTTTTTTGGGGAGTTACCACTTGTCACCCACATATCCCGAGAATATTGAATCACTTTATAGAAAAAAAAGTAAGAGTTTTATTAGAAAATTGCATTAATTTTAAAACAGAACCGGATAGTGACAATTTATCACTACACCTCATACTGGGACTCCAGATGCGCCAAACTGAACTAACACTTTTTATGTGTAAAAAAATGAAACTCACACAAAAACCTTACAAGGGTCGAAAAAAGAAATCATTAATAATATCTTACCCTAAATTCTCAGTGCATAAAGCAATCATACCTTGGAGGCTCTAAGAATATTTTCCGAGTGAAGTTTATTTGATTTCCTGGATTTGCTTTAGCGCGGGTGACGTCTATAAAACCTTAGGTATGCTTAAGCGTAAATGCTGCTAAAAAGATTTTCATCAAAGGCTAGTGATCGTCTACAACCTAATTTTTTTTAATAAACTCAACAGGGGCGCTACAACCCATGAACTTGGCGTCATTTTTCCATATCTGTGATATTTTTCTTATTATTATTTATTGCAAGAATGTGGTACAAAAATGTGTAAGGTGTGTCGTAATTTCGCATATTCAACCACACACAATGGCGCGCAAATAAAGGAATTTTACATTTTACCATTATTAGTCATATGAATTGGTCAGTTCTTATATTATTTGTATCGTACATAATATCATACGTTATTAAATTTATATCAACTACAGTGTCTTACTTAATAGTGGATTAAGCGGTCAGATCTGGCCTGCAATGTCTTGTCATATTTCAGGCCGGATGCGAACGAGTGCATAGAATTGTGCATGGAAGCCGTGATTTGTAGACACGGCTGTGGCACGCTTATAGGCCGACAACGTTACTTTAAATAATAAGAAATTACAAAATGCACTTCGTTTTCGTTCAATAGGATTGCCTGGAAAATATCTCATTAGAGTCATTAAATCTCTGGAGATCAATTTTGTGATCAAACTTAGCTAAGATTGACAATTTCCATCATAAATACATTTGGATTTTACGGTGGATCGGATATCTTGGGAACAGGATAAGAGAAACAAATAAATGAAAAAAACCTTGACACAATTTTAGTCGTTTATGTAAGAAATGCAGTTTTGGCCTAGTGGCTTCAGCGTGCGATTCTGATCCCTGAGGTCGTAGGTTCGATCCCCAGCTGTGCACCAATGGACTTTCTTTCTGCATTACATTCGCTCGAACGGTGAAGGAAAATATCGTGAGGTAGCCGGCTCGCCTAAGACCATAAAAGTCGAAGGCGTGTGTCAGAAACAGTTGGCTGATCTACTTGCCTATTAGATTGAAAATTGATCATGAAACAGGCACAGAAATCTGAGGCCTAGGCCTAAAAAGGTTTACCACCAATTTATTTTATTTTTTATGTAAGAAATGGACGTCTCCTCCACGTCCGTAGCCTGTGATAGCATGATTATTTTTTTGAGACGCCCTTCTATTTTTGTACAGGATTCAACAGGCAAGTATCTCCGAACCAATACGACTTAGGCCAAGCATTTTCCACAAGAAATTCATAATTGTATGTTTTTAAATATATGTTTTTAATGTAACAGGAGGGAAAGATTCACCTGATATTAAATGAAAGCTCATGGTCACTCTAATTGTCAGAAAGCAATCTAGATTTTTATTATAAATACTTGCTGACCCGGCAAACGTCGTTTTGCCATGTATATTATTTCTAGGATACATGTTTTTAGTTCAATAAAAATAACTATCTACTATAATAAAAAATAGGGGTTGATCGTAAAACTTTAGGGGTGGGACCACCCTTAACATTTAGGGGGATGAAAAATAGATGTTGTCCGATTCTCAGACTGAATATGCATAAACATTTTATTAGAATCGGTCAAGCCGTTTCGGAGGAGTATGGGA